GTAATGGATGAGGCGCCATGGTTGCTGCACCCCAACCCATGTTTACAGATGGGGGCGGGGGTGGTGGGGGTGGGGGCAGTGAAAAATTATGCATGTCAAACATTGGAGGAGGAAAAGCGTATTGTGGTATAATAGGATTATCTTGTCTCTGAGGCGGAAATCCCGAAGCCTCCTGAGATACCGTGTGTTCCAAGTTATAAAACTGCTGAGGTGGAGTCCTACCACGGCAAGATCGAGGATATCTACCCCTGGAAAATCCTCGTGTGAATTCTCTGTTGCGATAGCCTTTGGAATGCTCTGAAGCAGAGCTATGAGCATTCCAATTCTGATGTACTTCAGCAAAATCTTCACCTTTGGGCGGGAGAAAGAAAAGCATAAAAACAAAAATAAGGTCAATATATTAAAAAGCACTGTTTGAAATTTCAATGATGCCTTTTAACTTCCAGTGTATCTTCTGGCAGTTAAAAAAGTATAAGGCTTAAAATGGTCAATTTTAAATGATTTGAAAAGGCAAAACTTAAAGCCAAAGGATCAGGAAAGAAAAGGCATAGTAAGAGAAAACATTTAGACAATAACTGCTCTACTCCAGCCAAATATCACAAAAATAACTGTGGCACCATCCCTACCCACATTCTCAAAGGCTGAGTAGGGAACTTAGACTTCTACCCTTGCCAGGCAGCAATGAAGGACCTGAGCCCAGGGTAGTGTCAAGAGCAGGTTGAGCAGAGCACTAGTAATAAGGCCTCCTGCAATGGCAGTGGACACTACATGGGGAGCCCGCACCTCCACCTCCACTGGCAGCAACACCACTGTACTTCCTCCTCATGCAATGGGGTGATATCAGAGAAGACTAAATGAAATCAGGATTTTCATCACTGCCCAATGGTGAGAAGACCATCATCCTCCATTGGTGAACTCCACGTGGAGAGCAATATCAAGATACTCCTATCCCTACCAGGCACAAGGAAAGACGTGGTGGGGAGGCAGAACTTCTATCCTCTCCCTGCAGAAATGAGGCACTCCTTGGCCTCAGGTATTAATAGGAGCTAAGAAGAAAACCTGGACTTCAATTTACCCCTTTCCTTTCCTTACCAGAGTGGTATTTAACAAAAACAAACCAAACAAAAAAGCTGAAACAGAAGATTTACATAAGATCCACAGCCTTGCAACATAATATCCAATAGATCTAGGTTTCAATCAAAAATCACTCATCATAAAGAGAACCAGGAAGATTTCACCCTAGATGAAAAAGGAAAATCAACAGAGGTCAACACAAAGATGTTAGAAGTAGGAAAAGAAGATTAAAGCACTAATAAAAATGCTTTGACAAGAAATTATGAACATGTTAAAAATATTAAAAATAGAAAGTCTCAGCCAAAAAATAGAAGGTACAAAATAAAGAAAAAAATAGAAATGTTAG